TTCCCCTCCCCCCCCCCCCCCCCCCTCTCCCCCCCCCCCCCCCCCCCCCCCGCATCTAATAGAAGCATAAGGGACATTGCCAAACTCTTTTTACAAGACTACAGTTATCCTGATACCCAAACCATGCAAACATGTAACTAAGAAAGAAAAGTATAGATCAGTCTCCCTCATGAACATTTGTAGAAGGAGTGTGCATCTACAACTCAACCCCAGTGCTGTGGAGGGAAAAGTCAGGAGGAGCCTGGGTCTTGCTGACTGTCAGCTTCTCCTTGGGTCCAGTGAAGGGGGCACCATGTGTCCTGCATGTGCACATGGGTGTGCCCGTTGGAGATGCACCGCACACACACACACACACACATACACACACACACACACCCCACTCAGGAATAAATTATGTGATTAATAAGTTATATTGATGAAATATATAAAGAGATTAATTGTCAAAGTGGAATTATTTAGATTTAAGGCTTGATAGTAACTTGATAAGTATTGGGAAGTCTAGCATTGAATAATTACATAAATGTACACTTTTGAAAAAATCTTGATTTGACCTTTATGCAAGAAAATACTAGTAACTAGTTTTTAATCTTTTTTCTTTCTCTCTCTCTCTCTTTTTTTTTTTTTTTTTTGCTCATTTGGTTTTTTGTTTGGTTTTTGTTTTGCTTTGTTTTTTTTCGAGACAGGGTTTCTCTGTAGCTTTGGAACCTGTCCTGGAACTATCTCTTGTAGATCAGGCTGGCCTCGAACTCACAGAGATCCACCTGCCTCTGCCTCCTGAGTGCAGGGATTAAAATTTTTGTTCAACTAATATTTGAATACTAATTATATTGTTAGACTGTGGAGGAGACAAGGGATGTTAGAATAAGATTATAAGGCAGGCTGTAGAGATGGCTTAGCCATTAAGTGCACTAAGTGCTCTTCCAGAGGACCAGGCTTAAAATCCAGCAGCCACAAGGTGGCTCGGCTCTCTGCTGTCTGTAACTCCTTTCCCAAGAAGGTCTAGCACCCTCTTCTGGACTCCCTGGGCACTGCACACATTGGGTGCACAGATAACACATTCAGGCAAAACATTCATACACATAGAATTAAGATAAATTAATCTTTGAAAAAAGAGTATAAGGCATTATAAATGGAGAAAACAAAGGCTGTTTATGCATTGCACTTAATGTTTAAAGTTTAGTCACAGGTGTCATGACAAATGGGATTGTTTCCTTTGCTGTGTATTCTTACATATGCTAATGTAACAGTTCCTTACAGTCGTTTCTCATTATTCCCTTTTATTTTGTATGTGCATTGGTGTTTGGTCTGCATATATGTCTGTGTGAAGCTGTTGGGTCCCTGGGAACTGGAGTTAGAGACAGTTGTGAGCTGTTACGCAGGCTCTGGGAATTGAACCTGGGTCCTCTGGAAGAACAACCAGTGCTCTTAACCTCTGAGCCACCTCTCCAGCCCGTCATTCTTATAAAAGGCGGCCTATGGGGCTGGAGAGATGGCTCAGAGGTTAGGAGCATTGCCTGCTCTTCCAAAGGTCCTGAGTTCAATTCCCAGCAACCACATGGTGGCTCACAATCATCTGTAATGGGATCTGGTGCCCTCTTCTGGCCTGCAGCATACACACAGACAGAATATTGTATACATAATAAATAAATAAATATTTTTTAAAAAAAGGCGGCCTATTATCAACACTGTGACTTAGGAATCCTCTCAAGAATGTTTTCAAACAAACGTTTTTTCTATTTCTTCGCAGAGGTTACGCACAGAAAATAGGCTTTTAAAACAACGTATTGAAACGTTAGAAAAAGTAAGTAAAATGATTACTGCAAGTTTCTGTTCAGTGCTTATATAGCAAATCTAAACAATCTGGTATGTGCGTTACCTAGGTGTGGTGCCCACCTCAGCTTCCCCTGCTTACTGTTGTTGCTACACACTCATCATGAGCACCCTACCTAGTCGTAGAATTACATGTTGATACCATTTGCTTTTTTCCTCATAGGTCCTCTAAAAAGTATGACTTAGGTGGGAATACATCCTGACAGATGTTTTAAAGATAAATTTTAAGTGTTCCCTGGATTTTGAGCCACACATTGGACGTAGCAGGGGCTCATTTAAGGCCTTCCACACCAAAGCTTTATTTATATTTAGTCAAAGTGATGATAAAGTCTGCTTTTATGTTCATTTTCAACACTAAGTAGTTTTATAACTCCTTGGTTGTTAGAATTGTCTTATATCTACTCATTAGCTTTTCCTTTCTGTTTCATGTAAAAAACTAGCAATAAAATTTTCTATTTTTCTTATTATGCTTTTGATAGAATGTATTTTGTAGGTGTGTTTTTAAGAATGAATTGACAAATAGTTTAAGAGTCTTCTTGGACTAGGCATGTAGCATGTACTAAGTCCTGAGTTCAATCCCAGCACCATATAAATTGGGCATGGTGATGCATGTTCATAATCCCAGCCCTTGGGAAGTGGAGGAGGGAGGGTCACAAGTTCAGAGTCATTTGTGTAGTTTCAGGCCAGCCTATGCTACATGAAACTGTCACAAAAAAAAAAACAAAAACAAAAAAAAAAAACAAAAAGCAGCCCAACAATTTTTCTGAATTGAAAACAGTTGAATTCAGAAGGTGTTTTTTAAAGCTAAAGGTTGAGAGTAAGTTGGTATGTATCTGCTCCTCAAGTACCAATTATATTTAAAATCTTCTCTAAAAGTTTATAGATTAATATCCAAGAAAGAATGATGGTTGCGATGTTCCATGGTTTTATATTAATATATATTATATATTTACTTATATATAATATATAAATATGTAATACATTAGTCGCGCACAGGGCAGGGTATTCGTTACAGCGCCAGTGATGCTGCACTGACCGCCATGCTTATCTCGAGTCAAATTGCTCCTCTGTGCGATCGGATGGAAGTGGCTGGGAAAGCGGTTTGACTTTCCGGTGATTCCACACACGTGTCGAACGTCTCAAGTCCTTGTACTTTGTGTTATTCCTGCTTTCACCAGATAGCCAGCTTGCAGTAAAATATGCAACTTAAATTATTTTCATTATTAGAGTTAGATACTTTCACAGAGCAAGCATTATTTCACCGACTCTTCAGAATAGTCATGAAGACCTAGGAAGGTGTGGTTTTGTCTAGAAGGGTAAGTGCCCGTTCTCACGGCATAGGACCTTAGTTTTGACAGCAGTTAGAATTCTTAAGAACTTAGATCTCGTTGAATTCTTGAACCGAAAGTGTACTTGCTGGATTATTGTTAAGAGTTTAAGTTGAACTTAAGAATTCCTGTTACCTTTGTTGCCTCGTTTCTCGGATGCTGCTGTTGCAACAGTGGCTGCTGTATTTGTGAGCAGTGTATTGCTGAGCTGAATCCCTTCCTCCCTTCTGGAAGTGGTTTGATGATGTGACTAGGCCTAGAAATAAATATTTAAAGGTACATTTTCAAGAAAAAAAAATACTTTTTTGTCCTAAGTAATGTAAGATTTATCTCTTTTAGAGACACGATATAAGCTGTCCCTATTTTGATTTGTTTTTTAAGATTTAAAAATAAAAATACATTTAAAAATAGTTTAAGTATCCATTTTAATTAGCAATGAAAAGTAAATGGAATTTGGGTGTGGGTGTTTCTTATTCCTAATTTTATTACTTTGATATCCTGTCTTTTTATATTTCTATCTAAATTTTTCCTTTTGTAGGAAAGTGCTTCCTTGGCAGATAGATTGATACAGGTATAGTTTTTTTATTTTATCTTTTTTATTTTTAGTATTTTTACTAACCTCTAAAGAAAATCCTAAACTTAGAAATTCATACTTAATGCATGCAATTTTACATGCATTTTCCCAAAAAATAATTCTTTGGGCTGGCATATGAATGTATACGTAATGTTTTGTTTGATAAATGTGCTATTTTTAATTGAATGCCTACCTCTCTGCACGTTTTAAAGCTAACCTTGTTTTTAAAGTATTTATTTCAAATGATAAGCAGTGGATTCTGTGACATTAACCACTGTTCATTGAACATTTTAGCCCTGCATGTACAACTCCGTAATACTGCATGAATTGCATTTTTTTTTATCAACTAAGAGAATTGTTCTTAAGACTGTCAATTGAAAATTTCATTTTGTTTCCTCAAATTTGCTAGAGCAAAATAACAAGCTTCTAGCTAATAATTACCTTGGCTATTCTATTCTCTAAGGTGTCTTTTTTTTTTAACATGTCAAAAAATAACTAAACCTCACAAAGGCAGTCTTTCTTAAATCTATTCTAAATTGCTTTATACACACACAAAAAATTATGTCCTAAGGGACAAGTGACAAGAGCCCAGGAGGCTGAGGAAAACTACCTCATAAAACGGGAGTTGGCCAGCATCAGACAGCAGAGTGATGAGGCCAGCGCTAAGCTGGAGCAGGCTGAAAGCACCATCCGGGAGCTCCGGCACCGGCACCACTGGGTAAGGACCTGGTAGCCTTCCTCACCTCCCCAGCTCGGCTTTGCGGGAAGCAGTAAGACTCCCCTGTGGCCACCAAGATTCCTGGTTTTTCTTTTTTGTCTGTGGTTTTGTTACATAATATTTTTTATGCTATATTCTAAGTCATAGGAAATAAGCAGTGTGCAGCTGCTTTTTAGATCTGTAGGGTCTCTTTTATAGAAGGTAACCTGACGTCCTTTTTAGATCTGTAGGGTCTCTTTTATAGGAGGCAACCTGACGTCAGCTGGTGTTTGATTCTGGCAAAGTGGTTATTACCCAACATTTAGAATATGCGCACTTAAAGCTTTCATAATGTTGACAGCCTATATTTTGTGAAATAGTCTAGCTTAGACTTCCTATATCAGAACACTGAATTATGAGTTAAAGTGCATGCTTACATTTACTTGGAGAGGAGAAAAGTTGTCAAAGACGGGGAGTAATTCCTAAAAAATAAAAGTTACTGCTGGGAGGTAGTGGTGCATGGATGGGCATCACTTTTACTCAGCAAAGTTTAGAAACGTCGCCATCTGTATTCAAAAGTGTAAACATGTATTTTTTTCAGTGAAGGCAGTTAAGAAAAATAGATGTGTTAAAATAATATTGAAATGGCCACAGTTGCAATAGTATGTTCTACCTTTAATCACAAGGCATGGAACAGGAACAGGAACACAGTTCTTCACAGTGAGATGGAAATGGCAGTCAGTGCAGTGCCGTCTGTTTGGAAGTTACCATGCTTGCACCAGCTGCAGCTTTGATGCTGCGAACGCTGAAACCACGTCAATAGAAGGAACGCAGGTTTATAGAGGAGAGCGGCCTTTGCAGACGCCACACTCACTTTCCCGTAGATCTGCACTGTGGAGCTAACATTGCCAGCGAGAAAGCAGATTCTTACAAGGAGGGTGGTCTCTGCCATTGCAGAGATAAAGCGATGGGCACACAGAATAGGTGAAGTTTATAGCACAGCCTTGAATGAACCCAAGGCCAAGTTGTGTATCCGAGATACTAAGATGATTGTAGAAGTTGCATTTCCAGAAAATGAGAGCTACAGTGGGCACACATATTTCTTACAGAGAGCAGTGACTGAATGTTAGGCTTGTTAATGTGGCCTTGCTTGTATGCTTCACTGAGAATTCTAAAAAATCTTATTTAATGCCTTAGTAAAAGCTAATATTATGTGTCAAGAGAGAAAATGTTATTTCCGTAGCTATAGCTGAAGTTTTATAAGTTATTTGGTAAATTATTAATGTACCTTTTTCTAGTCGAGACAGAAATGAAGGTGAAAATAGTAAATATAAATGGTTCAATATATCGAGGGACCACTCACGTTCTTGTGCGAAGGCTTTGTTGTGTAAGCCTGTCCACGGTGCTTCATATCATGTCCATATGCATAGTATGTGCAAGAACTTTATATGTGGGTTATTAAAATGGAGCCAGTGTTTTAGATGATAAACAAGATTAATGTTAAATATTACAAACAATTTCTGTTTGGAACAAGAAGGTGAAAGTTTATTTCACAAAATCAATAGCCCTGCCCTCAGAATTAAGATTCAGATATTTATCTTATCAATGTACAAAAGTATAGGAAGTTTGAAGTGAGAGAGTCATAATCTTATCCATAGCAGAGTGTAAAGAGAAGATGCTAGAGTGAGAGCAGTGTGCTGGACACTTGGTTAGAGTCTCCTTAAATACACCTCTACGGATGTGGAACTAGGGCTAGTCCTGCTTTGATAACTGATCTTTGATATTCAGTGAACTTCTGTTTGATTTCAGAAACGATTTAAGCAGAGCCGGACCATTTCAGGTCTCATTTTTTTCCCACATAATTTGTGAAATTTAAATGTGTAGTTTGATGTTTTAAATGTCGAGGGTTGTGTAACCCCCACATTACAGTGGTCATTTCTATCATGTCCTGTGTTACAGTTTGTTTTCCTTGCTCATCCCATCAACCTGTGTCTGAATACTTTGAAATTTTCTGCAATTTTCTCTAAGTGGAATTGTTGCCTTTTCTATAAGTGGAACTAGTTTCTTTTAGTTAGCATATCAGTTTACTTTTATTTATATACTTTGTGATTTTTTTTAGTTGTGATAAAACATATACAAAATACAAATTTACCATTTAAGTAAGTGTGGTTCAGTGGCATTGAGTCTGTTTCCGTTGTTATTAGCATTACCACTGTTTATAAAAATTTCTCATGGTTTTAAATTCTGGACACATTCAATAAGAAACAAAGAAGCTTACTGTAGGGGAAAGGCTTTAAAAAATGACATATTTAGTCAGTCTGGTTACAGTGCATATGTACTGACAGGGCTTGAGAGCTGGCTCAGTGGTTAAAACACTGTTGCTCGTATAGAGGATCCATTGGCTTCCCAGTGCCCACACAGGAGCTCACAACCACCTGTGGTTCCAGTTCAGCCCCTTCTAGTTTCTGTGGGCATCTGGCATGCACATGGTGTGCATACCTCCATGCAGACAAGCACTCAGTATTAGAACACAGGAGACTGCTTACAGGAGCACGCAGAGTTCCTGTGCTGGAGCAGCAGGGTGGGATCAGAAGGAAGCAAGTGGAGCTCCCTCAAGGCTGGGCTGGATGTGTCTTGGTGAGGGTGTGCTCCCTTCAGACTAGGTGAGGGCTGGGGCTAGAGGAGTGGGCGGCAGCAGGTCGCAGTTCGCCTGTGGGACTATAGTTCCCGAGCATTTGACAGTGGGACAGTAAGAACCTGCAGTACCTGGATTTCCACTGATGAGGAGAGAGCGTCTTTGGGCATCTGGTGGTTATAGGGGTTATTATTCACAGCCAAACTTTTATGTAATTTCAGGATATGATATTTGAGTAGGCCAATTCTATTTGTTGTGCAAGAGGAGAAATTTTATGTTCCCATACTTAGGAATATGGTGGATGTGTAGGCAGAGACTGCTTGTTTGTCCCTGGCTGCCCAGACCCGAAATAATCACACAGAAACTATATTAATTGCAATACTGTTTGGCCAATAGCTTAAGCATATGTCTAGCTAGCTCTTATAAAATAAATGAACTCATTTCTATTATTTTATATTTTACTGTAAGTTTCGACTAGGTCTTCTGCGGTGGCTACATGGCTCTCCCTGACTCCCACTACTCTCTCTCTGTGCTCTGTTTGGATTTCCTGCTTGGCTTTACTCTACTAAGCCATTGGCCGAAAGCAGATCCTTTATTAACCAAGGGCAGTAAAGCATATTCATAGCATACAGGGGGGAAACCTACATCAGTGGATGTACTATCCAAATTTCAGGCTCCTGTGACAGCAGGTGGAGGTAGTCAGCTCTCAGAGAGGAGTTGATTTGGGTCATGGTTTGTTCACTGGACCTGTTTCCTGGACCAGTGGCAGCTTTCATATCCTAATGAGATGGTGTGGGAAGCTTGCTCCGTGTGGCAGCCAGGAAGCAGAGAGACTCGGTGTCTCTTTCAAGGGCACACTCCTATGTCCACCCCCACACACTATATCCTTCTTGTTGGTTGTTTTTTACTCTTTGTTCTTTTGGGGGCCCACCACCCAGCTCCCAAATAAATCCACATGGAATTTTATTCTTTCTTATGACTGCCTTGCCTTAGCTTAGCTTGTTTCTTGCCAGCTTTTCTTAAATTCCTTGTCTACCTTTTGCCTCTGGGCTTTTACCTTTCTCTATTTCTTTTCTTTCCTTCTTTTGGTGTCTGGCTATGTGACTGGGTGACTGACCCCTTCTTTTCTCTCTCCTATTTATTCTCTCTGCCTGCCAGCCCCGCCTACCCTTTCCCCTGCCTTGCTATTGGCTGTTCAGCTCTTTATTAGACCTGTTAGGTGCTTTAGACAGCTAAAGTAACACAGCTTTGCCAGCGTAAAACAAATGCAACATAAAAGAATGCAGACATCTTTGTGTCATTAAAACAAATGTTCCACAGCATAAACAAATGTAACAGACTACAAATAATAATTCCACAACACACCCCATTTCCTAAAGGTTTCATGAATATTTCCTTTTCTCTGAGGGACATTCAGGATCTGAAGTACAACAGTTGGGCTCTTTGGTGAACATGGTGGGTTCAGTTGCAGAGATCTGGAAGGAACAGGCTAATAGGGCTGTGTGGCCCCTGAAAGTTTGTGTAACTTGACCACTGAGAGTGACTCTTGCCCTCTGAAGTTTCAGGAGTTAAGAATGGAGCCAGTCAGCCCACAGTTTTAGGCACAATGTGCTGATTGAAATGGTGGTGTGGTGGTTTGAATGAGAATAACCCCAACACTTAATCTCTGTTAGGAAGTATTTGGGAGGTTGGCCTTGTTGGAGGAGGAAAGGCTATGGGTGTGGGCTTTGAGAATTTAAGCCTCAGTCTGGCCCAGTCTCGGTCTCTGTTACTGCTCCAGAGCCACGTCTGCCTACCTGCCCTGTGCTTCCCTCTCTCAATCTGTGAGCAGCCCTCAGCTAAATGCTTTCTTCTTTAAGTCACCTTGGTCATGGTGTTTCTTAAAGCAATAGAACAGTAACTAAGATGGGAAAAATTAAGGATGGGAAGTTTAGAGCATCTGTGTCAAAGATTTCAGAATCAGTAGTATCAGGATTGTCCACAGTAGCGATGTCAGCTCTGTAGGGTGTAACTCTCACTTCAGGCTGTGTATGTAGGGATAATAGCATTCAGTGTTCCCACCAACAGAGGTTTGACAATGAACAGACTCATAGTTGCAGTCCAAGAGTATGTTCTTAGTTGTGTGCACTGTGTGTGAGGTGTGTAAGTCTGAACATATGTGTGCAGTACAGATGTGACTCCATCTGTGCAACTGTTAAGCAGTCTATTGGGAATACTTTATACCAGATAACTACAGCTAACTACAGCCTGTCTCTTGGTATATCTCTAGGGTGATTGATTCGAGGAAGAACACTTAATCCGTGGCTGCTCCAGGTTCTCACATGGCATTATATTAGCATACACCCTCCACACATCCTTCTGTATACTTTAAATAATTTCTAGATAACTTGTGCCCAATTCAGCATAGTTAATGTAAATAAATAGTTGTTATAGTGCTTAGAAAATAATACCAAGAAAAAAGAAGATATGTTTAATATAGTTACAGATTTGTAAAACTTTCCTTGCTTGGGTTGTGTGGGGGCTCTGTCTGTCTTTTATCTCAGTGATTGGACATCTGTGAATCTGTGTAGAGTTGGTTATTTCATTAATTTTCCAGAGTGGTGGTTTCCATTTCTCCTCACTTGTGCTGCACTTAGCAGTGTTCTTCTGAGAGATGATATTCCTGTCTCTCTTCCTTTACCTCTTTCTTCCCTCCCAGCCCCTCATTGGAGCCTGTTTTGTATCACTCTGGGTTCATAGATTTTGTTTATTCAATATTTCATATGTTCTTCAATGGTTTAATGCAATTGGTACAATGATTATGTCATACTCATTTAAATTTAAAAAGTGTAAGGCTTGTCTTTTACTTATCATTGGAAATTGCAGATTTTCCTAAATAATTTATTTGAGAAAGTATGTTCAGTAGCACATTCGAGTTTCTCATCCCTGTTATAAAATTGATGCCCTCTTGTGGTCTGTGAGGGCATGTACACACGTGTCCTATATTCTTAAAGACACACAAATATACACACACAAGCATGTAAACTTAAACATAATAATGTTTTAAATAAAGTAATTTTGGCTTTGATCTGAAGGTTAAATGTATTATATTTATATATAGTGTTTGCCTTTCATTTTAAATGAGAAATAGAGGTCACTGTAGTGAAAATATTTGTTTTCTTCACATTTCTTAATCATTAGCAGTAATTAAAAATAACAAGATAAATTTCCATTTTAAAGAATTTATGTAATTTTTGTAGGTATTAGAAAGAAATCATTTAAATGATAGGTATTTTTTGATAATTCTGGGATTTGAATGTAAATCTCACGCATGCTGGACATGCGGTCTAACAGATAGCTACGTAGCTTTGAATTTTTAATTCTCTTCTCTTACGCTTCCCAGCTGCTTCAGTTACAGGCAGGAGCCACTTTGCCGGATGGATTTAAAAGCAAAAGAAAAAAAGAAAAACACAGCTATTTTGGGCACAATGGGAGGGATGGTCTGGGAGCAGTTTGGGGCCATGTACTGGAGGAGATCGGAAAGTGCATTTTTGTTACAGAGATCTGTTCTGGAGCGCCCTGCCTTTCATAGCTTCATTTCTTCCTGGTGCTCGAGTGTGGCAGTCACGTGTACTGAATGTCTCATTTATTTACGTGTATTACTACATATTTTGTCTTGGGAATAAGTACAAACATGATATCATTTTAAAAAGTAGCTCTAAATCCCTAGGTGGACATTTGAATACAACTAAACATCACAATGAGGATGTATGGTGTCACCCTCGGCCTTGCTCATTCACTGATGTTTTGTATGAAACGGGCTTTAAGAAACCACAATGACCTCACTGGTGTGTGAGCACCAGTGGAGTAGAGAGGGGCAGGGAGATATCCTGCCTCTGTGGTTTGTCTCTTTATGCAGCAATTGCTTTTTTCTCCTCTTACACTAATCCATGCAAATATTTTAAAGAAATTGACATTTCTAAAGCAAATAAAAATTTTCTTTCTTAGAGTTTAAGGTATTTCACCTTAATCTTTACTTTCAATGCATGGAAATAGGATTTTTAGGCTTTAGATGCTTCTATAGTCTTTCATGTGAGCTAACTAAGCAATCTTAAGATACTGTATTATCCATACTGAAAAGAGTAAAAGGAAAGTTAATGTTTTTTGTTTACCTCAATTTTAAATAATATTTCAACATGCCATCACCATAAAAATCATTATTTTGATTTATTTTATGCGCTTATTCAATTTTATACTTTTGATCGTGATGCTGGGGGTTGAACGCAAGGGACTTGCACTAAAAACCAGTTTGTCTTTGTTTATCACCATACTCAGCAAGGATCTCAAGTATTAAGTGACCATGTGAGGCTGACGGGTACTTTGTTGTCTGCAGAGCCAGAACAAGCTCTTGAGAGTGGACAGAAAGAAGACAAATACTTCGTATGAGCAGGGTTGAGGAGTGTAATGACTTATTACCAAAGCTGATTTACGTGGTCATCCTCAAAGATACCAGAACTCGGCTTTTCTTTTCTTTTTAAACTCATTTGTTGGGAAAAGGGAAATAATTTGGAATACTGGGTAGATCAGATTTACTTTTTAGTTGCCCATAATACCCATATTATATAATTTATTGTTTTTCTGAATGTGTATATTTCTATGCTTGTGTTTCCCTAAAGTTTCAGTCTATGTCTATAACCTTTAGCATAAATGCAGCTCCTCCTACAACGAAGATTTCGTGCTGCAGCTGGAGAAGGAGTTGGTCCAAGCCAGGCTGAGTGAGGCTGAGTCTCAATGCGCCCTGAAAGAGATGCAGGACAAAGTGCTGGACATAGAGAAGGTGGGAAACTTTGTAAATACCTCCTCTTCCTGCTCTGGCTGGAGCCGAGCCAGATACTTGTGCGTACTTGCTGAACTGAGTTAGACCTGATGTTTTTCACACTCAAGGAGCTATGCACTAGATTTGCTGGTTGGTAGATGGTAGAGTGCTTGCCTAGAATGTGTGAGGTCCTGGTGTCAGGCCCAGCTCCAGATGGCAATTCCTGTAATCCCAGCACTCAGGATGAAGAGGTGGCAGTTCAAGGTCAGCCTTGGTTGGTTAGATGGTGAGTTGGAGGTCGGTCTAGTGTGTATATGAGACCCTGTCTAGAGGGAGAGTGGAAAGGCAGAATAAAACTAACTCTAAGGCTGCCAGTTCAGAAAACCCTTTCCTGTATCAGTGAGCACAGGACTGTTTTCTGCTTCCTCTTCATCAGATCATTGTTACAGGTCTGTGCTACAACTTAAAAATGGGGTGTGAGTACTGCAGTTCTTTATTCTTCAGGATTGTTTAGCTATTCTGGGATTTTGTGTTTCCATATAAAATTGAAGATTTATTTTTCAATTCCTTTGAAGAATTTTGTTGGAATTTTGATGGGCTTGCATTGCATCCGTAGATTGCTTTTGCTAGGATGGCCATTTTTACTGTGTTAATCCTATCAACCCATGAGCACGGGAGATCCTTCCATCTTCTTCAGTTACAAGTGCCAGTTCTTCCTGGTAACTTTCATACAAATCCATACATATTTTCATGTTTAAGAATGCCAATAGAGATGAACTCTGTCCCCAGAACCCAGATAGTGGGAGGAGAAAACTGACTCCTGCAGGTTAGCTTACAACCTCCTCAGATGTATGCGTGGGCTCACACAGCTTTACAAAACTAAGTTTTAAAAAATGTGACTTTAAAAAAAAAATCTGAATTTCTCTGACTTTAGAAGAACAACTCGTTTCCTGATGAGAATAACATCGCGAGGCTTCAGGAGGAGCTCATCGCCGTGAAGCTGAGAGAGGCGGAAGCCATTATGGGTTTGAAGGAACTTCGACAGCAAGTCAGAGATCTAGAAGAACACTGGCAAGTATGTCAGGCTGGCTGTGCTTTTCCAAACAGAACGAAAACCAAGGACTGAGTTGTGTGACTTTGAAATACCTGGTGACCAACAGTAGGTGACGAAAAGAGATCTTGCTTAGTGTCACAGTTGAGACATTTACAACTTGAAAGTACATCTAAGATGTACTTTATATAATTCTTAAAATGGAACCAAAGAAACTGTAAACAAGATCATATTGAACTTTTGCATTGTTCGAGTTTCCTAGAGAACTATAAATAGTACAAAACTTACACAGTATAAAACTTTTCTTTTTTATTAAGAATAATATTTTTATTCTTTGAGAAGGTCATACATGTATGCAGTGTATTCTGACCATATTCATCTTGGTGCCTCCTCCAGATCCTCCAAGATAGAACCTTTACTTTCCCTCCCAGCTTCAGATCCTCATTGGTTGTTTCCTTTAAACTCACTCGGCCGGTTTGTGCTGCCACACACTCACAGGTGTGGGATCATCCATTTGAGCACGATTGAGCTACCAGGGCTGCATTGTTAAAGAAAAGTGATTCTCCCTTATCCAGGAACAGCTGTCAGTAGCTCATAGCTGTGGTGGAAGCTCTGGAGCCTGCCCCTTCATGCTGGAATGTGGACTGGCTTGATTTTATACAGGGTTTGTGCAGACAACCTCAGCTGGGGGTTCATGAGTCCAGTGGTCCTGTCATGTCCAGAGGACACTGTTCAGTCCTGGGCTTCTCCACCCCCCAGCTCCGTGAGCCTCGGTGAGAGGGGCTTGACACAGGTGTCTCTTTTATGACTGCGCAGTCCGTCACTTTGATCAGTTGTCAGTGTCTGTGTCAGTTGTTGCCCACTGCACAAAGACAACTTGTGGTGTAGAGGTGGAGCTCAGAGGTCAGTTTGGTATTCTGTTCAGTTAGCAAACACAGTTTGCTTTGCTATCAGGTACATTGTTGGGAAAACAGAAACAGCTGAAGGAGGACACCACTGTGTATTTGTAAATTTCTAACTTCTTTGAAAATGCCTATCACAAAAATAAATGACACTTTAGGTGTCTTCTCACAAATGGATCTTCTTGTAAGGGAAATTTGATAAAGAACAGATTGTAACAACGTGAAAGACAGAAGAGAATGAATTTTTAAAAACAATATAGTTTCAGAATGGTGATCTTGGTTTAAACTGAGGGTGGGGAAGAGACATCTAGTAAAGACTGAGATCAGTCAATGGAGGGGACACCTGCTGCAAGGCCTCAGAGCCAAGGCTGCGAATCTGAATTGGGTCTCCTGCACTCGCAAAGGTGGGAGAGAACTGACTCATGCCGGCTGTCCTCTGAGTGCCATGGAACCAGTGAATGAATATAATGTAATTTTAAAAGAACAAAAGAAGTTATTCCTTGATATTGTCATGGCTTTTAAAAATGTATTGACAAGTACCCAGCTGTAACAAACTGTAGTTAAGCTGGGCATGGTGATTTGTGTCTGGATCCCAACACTTAGGCTGAGGTGGGAAAACCCTAAGCCCAGAGTCTGCCAGGAATACAAACCAAAAGCTTCTCTCAAACAAGTAAAATGATTTGGGGCAATGCTTAAATATGTGCTCTGTAAAGTTAATTCTTGTTTTGATAAAGTGTAATGTTGTATGCTGTAGCGTCATTTAGCCCGAACTTCTGGAAGATGGAAAGACCCGCCCAAGAAGAACACTGTGAATGAGTTACAGGATGAGCTGATGAGCATCCGCCTCAGAGAAGCAGAAACCCAGGCAGAAATAAGAGAAATGAAGCAGAGGATGATGGAGATGGAGACGCAGGTATGACGGGCAGGCCAGGGTGAAAGCAGTGAGGGTCAGAGTCTGACAGCTGTTTGCTCAGAATTTTTATGTAACTAAAAATAACATTGAAGAGATACCATAAAGTTATGAAGAGTGAAGATCTAGGCTTTAAATGGGAAATTTAAATTTTATGCTGTTGTGTTTAGAGGGTGGCAAATGAGCAAAAAAAATTAACATCGTCTCATCCTTAGAATTAAGGTAAAAGATGAAGTCCAGACAGCAGTTTTCTGATTCTCGTGTAGAAAGCTAAAAGTCACTGCTGCTCCCTGTCCTTATTCTCGTGAGCTAGGGTCGTCACTGACCCGGGAACACCGGCAACTTAGCATGTTTTACCATGAGGCAAGCTCCAGCAATCCCCTTGCCTGTGTCTACCCCAGGTGAGCCTGCCTTTTACCGAGGCTGACGGTCTGAACTCAGGTCTCCATGCTGGTGCATCAGGCACTCTTGCCGACAGCCTTTGCCCCAGCCCTGTTTTGTTTTAGCCTTGTTTTTTGAGACAGGGTATGCAATATTGCTGGCGGACTGTAATGATATTTTGTGTTTTAACAAATGAAGCTTGCCCGAAGATAGAGTGCGAAGATAGAGTGTGGAGCTAAGCCACTAGAAGCCCGCAGTGGTGACACACACCTTTAATCCCAGGACTCTGTTAGTTCAAGGCCACCGTGGGCTGATCCAGTCTGAAAGAGAAGCAGAGCTCACACAAAGGCAATTCCAGCACTGGGGAGGTGGAGACCGGTGGAGAGAGGAATATAAGGCAGGAGGAGACAGGAGCGCAGATGCAGTCTGAGGTGTAGTCTGAAATTGTCAGAGGATGCAGTCTGGGGAGGTCATCCGAGGACAGGCTCGCCCTTTTGGTCTGAGGATTTGGTAGAGGTAAAAGGTCTCTCTAGTGGCTGGCTTCACTGCTTCTCTGACCTCTCAGCTTTCACCCCCTAATAGCTGACTCCAGGTTTAGAATTCATGCTACAGTTGGCTTGTTACTCACTCTGTAGCCTGGATTAGCTTCAAACTAGTGGCCAGTACTGGAATTATAGGCATAAACACCTTTTTTCCCCAGAAATTTAATCTCTGCTTGACCCTTCAACAAAATTTAAGCAAGCCGGACTGCATTTGGTTTTATTAGGGTTGCCTTACTGCACAAATTAAGAAGGGAAATTTATGTAGAGCAAAGTTCCTCAACCAGAATATGTAATTTTTGGGCTAGAAATTTGATGTGGAATTCCCCTCTATATGCTGTGACTGTTTTATTACCAATGGTTAATAAAGAAGCTGCTTTGGCCTATGGCAGGGCAGAACAGAGCTAGGTGGAAAAACTAAACTGAATGCTGAGAGAAAGAAGGCAGAGTCGGGCAGATGCCATGTAGCCTCCCAAGAAGCAAGGTGTGAAGTAACAAACCATGAGCCTTGTGGTAAAATATAAAACAATAGAAATGGGCTAATTTAAGATATCAAAGCTAGCTAGGAATATGCCTGAGCCTTTGGCCAAACAGTGTTATAATTAATTCAGTTTTTCTGTGATTATTCAGGTCTGGGTGGCTGGGAAATGTCTTCCTTTACAGAAATTTTGTTTTTCATATCTAGTCTGTGCATCATGGGGTGTTTAGCACCCTGGCTCGGCCCTGCAGATGTCTTCTCTTTAATAAATCTCCAGTAGAGAATCACAGGTATCAACTGTAGTGTGCATTTTACCTTTTCAAGTTACACGATGTGATCCTGGGTAATAAGTTTAAAGTTTAAGTCCAAACCCATCTCCTCAGATCTCTCTTTGTGTCACGTCTCCGTCTTAGATGCATTGGGCCTGAGATGTGCGGATTGTTTCGCTAATAGCGCTTGTTTGCTCTGTAAAGGTGAACTTGGCTTTTATGAATGACATTTGTCAGTTGTATTTCATGTAAAGTTGTCCTGTGGATCCATGCTGCAGACTGTAGAATCTCTGCTGATACTGAAATCTTCAGATACCCATGTCCTTAAATAAAATGGTTTATTATTTGTGTGTAACCCGTGTCCATTCTCCAGTATACTTCAAATCATCCCTAGGTACAACGCCTAATGTAGCACAGAAGAACAGAAGTAATGGCTACACTGTATCATTTACGCAATAATAACAAGAAAAGTGTGCACATGTGCAGTACAGATACAATCTAAAATGTTTTCAGTCATTAGCAGTTTGAATTTGTGGATACATAGAGAAGGGGAGCAATGCATTATGCTGACTTTCAGAGTTTTGTTCAGCCAGTAGGGGGCGTAGTTTACTCATGCCTCGTTCTGTGTTATAGTGAGCAGGTGTGGCCAGCCCGTGTCAGGCAGGCCTCTGGGACGTGCTTTGTTTCATAGCACTCAGTTACTTCCTTGTGCTTCTTGGTTAAACGTATGTTCCTCAGGAATTTGGAGTTTGGCCCCCTTGAGAGAGAAATTTGTGTCTTTGTGACCGGGTTTTCCTGATGCCATTTCTTGTGCCATTTTTGGAATTGGTTATGTGTGGTTTGGGTCTTGGCCTTGGCCATGGCTGAACTGTAACCCATGGCTCCTGAAGTGCCTGTGCTCTTATATGAGCACTTAATTGAGTAAACTCTTGTAGACTGAAAAGAATTCTTTTTATATGTTGGCTGGTAAAATGCCTTTGTTATCTTCCTTTCATATGGACTCTGTTTTCCTTGACTTGCCTGTTTCTTCAGCCTGCTGAGTCTTGTTATAACGCATCTTGGTGAGGATGTGTTTGCCTCTGTCGTCCTTGGATTAACTGTGCTCCTTGAGCTGTGTGTTCACACCCCCGTGTTTTGTTTATGTTTTATAGCACTGGAGCTCACACCCAGATAGTCAGTGCTGTACCACTGAGGTGCTTAGTGCACTGACTAGTCAGGATTATAGCAGCCTTACAGAACTAGTCCTTTCTTTGTGTATCCCTGGCTGTCCTGGAGCAACTCACAGAGATCCACCTGCCTCTGCCTTCCTGGTGCTGGGATTAAAGGCGTGCACCACTATGCCTGGCTCTTCTTTTTTTCCATTTTTTTGTATCTTTAATAATTTTAAGTATTTATTTTATGTAAAGTCCTTATATAATTTTCTTATTATGAGGAATTCTTAAACTATATTTACTTTCCCATTAAAACCAGAGATTTAAATTTTTTTATAGAACTATTTTATTTTTCATGGAACGAGGCAGAATGAATCAAAGGAGAGTGACAACTGAGCATTCACTGCGCCTGCAAACTTCTTTCTTCAGTCCCCGTGCGTGTGCCCTCCTCACAGTCTTCCTGACACAGCCGAAAGGCAAGCCGTAGTGTCTACCTATTTTTCCAGAATACTGAGATTTGTTAGGATTAAATAACTTGCCCAAGATCAGAGAACGCCTGACACATTGGTGGTGTGAGAGGGCTTACAGTTCAGTTTATGTTCTTGCCTCCCGTATCCTTCCCCAGGCTTTCAGAAATAATTGTCTCTCGGTTGTCTGTGAAGGTCCTCATAGTTTATAGAATTTTTGCATAAGTGGTATATTTAGGTTATATTTTTGTTTATTTAAGTATTTATTTCTAGTGTTTAGAAGCAGGGTCTCATGTAGTCCAGGCTAATCTCAAACTCTATATTACATGAACAAAGGTAGCTTAGGACTCCAGGTCCTCCTGCCTCTACCTTCCAAACACTGAGATTGCAGATGTATGCCACCATGCCTTTCTGGTATGTTGATTAAGAATTTTTAATATTCTTTTGGAGAATTCAATGTTTTTGTTTTAAAGATTTTTTTTTGAGACAGGGTCTTGCTGTGTAGTATGGGCTGTCAGGTTCACAGAGTAGCCCAGGTTGTCCTTAAACTCTTACTGGTGCTTCTTCCTCCGCCTCCCTAGTATGGATACATGTGCTACACACTTGACTGAAGATTTGTTTCATATCTTTTTCCATTTTTAATAAACATTTAAAAAACATTTTATAAGATGGTTGAAGTGTAAGATTTACAGGTTAAAAATTAATTAAAAATTTCCAGTCTTTTACCTATAGTGAGTCTATTTATATTTCTCATTAGAACCAGATCAATAGTAACCAGCTTCGAAGAGCAGAGCAAGAGGTCACCAGTCTGCAGGAGAAGGTGCATTCTCTTTCTGCGAAGAACAAAGGGTTGCTTACCCAGTTAAGTGAGGCAAAGCGCAGACAGGCAGAGATTGAATGCAAGGTAAGTGTCAGTGTAATGCTGCCTTCTATAGATTTATTTATTGTGATTATATACTGTCTTTTTGAGACAGCCTCTCAGTATATGGCCTTGGCTAGCCTGGAGCTTGCTGTGTGGACTAAACTGGCCTCAAAGTCTCATTGATTCCTTTGGCTCTGCCTCCCATTGCTGGGATCCAAGGCATATACCACACCAAGATTAAATTTTCAGACAAGGTTCACTCATTTTGTTCATAGGGTGAATTGCAGAGAAGAAACCTCATTTTTAACCGTAGGCTTGGTTAAGTTAATGTCTTACATTGGTGTCTACTAGCTTGACTTTTCATGTTTCTTTCGACTAGTGTGTCTTTAAAACCCAGCTGTGATGGCTTATCTGAAAATGTAGGTGGTGGAGGGGCTGATGCTCCCTACTTGATTCTCACTGTGCTAGCAGGCAGTGTTGCAGTGCTTTCTGGGTACAGACACAGAAATGGGTGTGCACAGGTAGATTAAGAAAAATGAATACAATTTCCATCTGTTAATCGGTTTTTGTTTATATGAAGCTTTTTGTTCAAAAAGAACTACAAGTATTTGAAATAAATTGAATTTTTTATGAAAAGGCTTATAGCAGCTTTAGCTAATGGGGGGTCAGGGCTGGGGCATCAGGCAGAGGACTATGGATAGACGTACATAAATACAAGAATAGCTGAAGAGATGCATGTCGTCCGAGCTTTAGAGCTGACTTCTGGAGAGCGTGTGGCATTTCCTTTAAGAGTCGCAGTGCCCTCGATGCATCCCAGCTTACTATTTTATGAGAAATGAGACTTTCAGTGGCACACACAAAGCTGTAATTCCATCAACTTGTTCTGGTGTTATTAAAAACCAGGAGTGAGCTGGAGTGGTTATCTGTGTCACTGAGATCCAGAGATGAAATTACATCCTGATAAATATTCATGGTTGTTAGAGTTCAGACTAAAGAAATCTGTAGGCAATACTGACAATTGTTAGCTCAAGAACTGACCCTTTAAAAAGGCACAACTGGACTAATTTAACCATAAAGTTGTATCAGAGGCCGCACGAGCAGTGGCGGCGCAGTGAGTTGTACCTTGTCACCCTGATGCCACACTGCCCTGTGATTTGTCTTCAACAGAGAACTAGTGTGAGCTTTCCTATAGCAATGCCAGCTTTCTTTAGACATTTTGATAATAGTATTTCTGAATTTAATATTATCGTGGCACCTGTTAGCACAATAAAATGTTCTTTGGAAGTATTTGAGGGACTTGACCATGAAGATCCTTGTTTTGAGTTCGTCTCAGTAATGGGTAAGGACTCAGAGCAGTGGAGGACTCGGCAGGCTGGCGCAGGATTTCTCTCAGGACCCTAGAAGTGTGCCCAGGACCCTCTCTCTGATGTGCCCCTCACACTAACTCAGCCGTCTTCGCTGCCTTCGCAGATCCTGGTGATTAATATTAGTGCACTTATTGTTACTTTGGCGCCTAGAGCCTGTCACACTTCCGGCTTAGAGTACAATTCAGTAACAACTATAACTTCTCCAAGAAGCAAGTCCCTTATTACATAAATTAGATTCATTTTCATTATGTTTTATATGGTTAAAGCTTATGATTTGTTGGTGAGTAACCTTTAAAGCTCATTTTATTTTTCATATATAAGTATCTGAATAGTGTCTGTATTATCAACATTTTTACTCTATAAATGAGTTTGAATATTCTCACTTAAAATAGCACAAGCCTATAATCCCCCATTTCAGTCCCCAACATTTTGAATCTCGAAAGATTTTTCATAAACTTCACGCAGGTTCACTTGAAGGCAACATTTGACTTGAACCGGTAGGTGGCCTCTTACAAGTTGTTGTCCCTTGGGACGTGGATGTTTATGCCTGACTGCTGCAGTGCTGATACCGACTCAGACCCTGCCACATCCTACGAATATCAGTTTCTACCCTTAATAGTTTGTATAGTCTGAAAAAGATCTCAGTTCCAAACTCAGCCAGGTTATCTCTGTTCTCTTGGTGCCGTAGAACAAGGAGGAAGTCATGGCTGTGAGGCTCCGGGAAGCCGACAGCATCGCTGCTGTGGCTGAACTGAGGCAGCAGATCGCCGAGCTTGAAATCCAGGTACGCCGTGGCCGCCCCCGCCCGCACCAGAACCACCGCGCCTGTATATCTGCCTTCCGGTGACTGCGGTTCTGTTTTCAGTACTTCATCCGTCTCAGAGGACTTCTGGGGGGAGTTCATCTGGAGGCCAGAGGGTGAAGTTGAATGTTTTCCTCTGTCACTCTCCACTTTACTAACTTAGGCTGATCTTGCTAGTGAGCTGCTGCAGGCCCCTTGTCCCCCCCTGAGTCTCTGCCTGCTTGGCCTTACATGCAGCTGCCACTCACGTGGGTGCTGAGGTCTGAACTCTGATCTTCCCGCTCAGGGAAGTGCTCCACCCACTGAGAAATCTCAGCCCGCAGGTGTGTTTTTACTTATACATAGCATAAAACTTTCAAAATGTACAATTCTGTGACATTAAGAATATTTATGCTGTTGTATGACCACCAACACCATCGACCTCCAGAACATTTTCAGGAGAGTGGAAGCCTGCCATCCTGGTGTGTTAGGTGGCATCAGCTCCTCATGCACACTGGTGATTTCCCAGGGGCAGTGGTGCCAGTGCCAGGCATCCCTTTACGTGATATTTAGCATTTATTTATCTTCTTTGGGGAAAAGTCCATGCACACTCTCGTCCACTAGGATCTGTTTATCTTGTTGGTGATTAGTTGTGGGAGTTACTTGTGCATTCTCAGTAGCAAGCATGTCCAGTGGTGTGGTTTATAAATGTTTCCTTCTGCAGGGTACTTTTCTTTTCATTTATTTTTTATTTCATGCAATGCACACAGACGCCACAAGAGGGTGTCAGATCCTTATGGATGGTTGCTAGCGACCATGTGGCTGCTGGGAACAGAATTTGAGTCCTCTGCCCGAGCAGTGCATGTTCTTAACTGCTGAGCTCTCTCTCCAGCACCAAGGTGTAGCAGGTGTCTGGTCACCATTCTGCTGCAGTGCTAATTTAGGGACAATATATTTTCTATCTATAAAAGTCAGTTTTTGAATTCCAAAATGGCATCAGGTGTAAGAAATTAGTATGTCATTTTAATCTTTGGGTAGTCCCTAGTCATTATATAGGTGTCTCACTTCATTCCAGTTTGTTAGTTTCTCAGGTAAAGCTCATTTATTTATTTGTTTTTCAGTGCTAAGGATTTACCTCAGTCCTCAGTGACATGTGCATTGTATGCAGTCAGGCTAACATGAAGTTAACTGGTCTAAGCTCTTTTTAAAACTTAGGACAGCATCACACTGAGTTTTCCTTTATGCCTCTGACTTGTGACACTCCCACCACAGCCTCCCAAGCACCACCAAGCCTGGGCCCAGCCTTCTGTCATAATAACAGCCAGATCTTAAAAAAATAAGGATTTTGTGCACGAGCATTTTGCTTGTATGTGTGGGTGTGCACAGAATGCCTGACGATGCCCTGGCACTGGAGTTATGTAAGGCTGGAGACCCCCCTGACTGAGTTCTAGCAATGAGTGGAGCGGGGTCTGCAGAACAGAAAATGCTCTTAGCTGCTGAGCCATCTCTCCAGCCTCAGCATCCAGTCTGAATTACTATGCTTTAAACTGCTTTGTCTTTTAAACTATTAATTACTGTAGTCTTAATTTGTTCTTATCAGATACATAAAACCACAATTGAATTGTTTTTGTGGAGTACTATGTAATGTGTTATGTGTTTATGCTTTGTGTATTGTTTAAATATGGTTAAACACATCTATTTTTTCAGACATTTATTTGTTCATTTGCGATAGAGTCTCAAAACCCCAGATTGTAAATAAAACTAGCATCCCCAAGTCTCAGTATTCTCACTGTTGGCGTTACAGGCCTCCTTCACTGCACCTGACACAATCCCCATGCCTGGGTATTCTGACTGTTGGCATTACAGGCCTGCTTCACTGTGCCTGGTGCATGTTCTCTCTTCATGGAGAAAGCTCAGTTTGTTCCTCTGGGTTTTGAGAGCACAGTAATTTTTACTATCGCAAGGACTGTGCTGTGCAATATAGCACAGGGATTCGGTACTTCTGCCTGCCTGTAGCTTCTTTCTCCTCTTCATTCTCTCCCTCCCTCGCTCCCTGCCACATCTGTATTAGGGTCAGATCTTGGGCCTCCCGCATGCCAGGCGAGTATTCTGCCACTGTTACATCCTCAGCCCTTCCCACTTTGGCTGGAGGCCTCAAATTTACTAGAGGATGATCTTGAAGTCCAGATCCTCTTTTGCCTTCTAAGGGCTGGGATTACAGGCCTTTGCCACCATGCCAGGCAGCCCACTCACTGGTAGATATTTTTGCTTTTATTTGAATATCTGTCTGTGCATGCCAGTGCCAACAGACACCAGAGGATGGTGTTGGATCCCTTGAGCTAAACATTCTCATTTCTGTGTGGTGTAAAACCCTGGTTCAGTGTTTTGTTTCTGGATTTATTGTACTTGGAAATGTACTTTCCATACTGGCAACTTTAAATATTCCAGCGTACCAGTAACGCAGATACAAGCAGCTGGCGCTTCTGGACACAGCGCCAGCTTCACTCTCATCTCTTAGTCTGCTCTCCAGTTTAATCTTCACAGCCACCGTACAGAACAGGAGTGGCTAACATCTTCAGAGTTGAAGTGACTGAGGCATAGAGAAGATTTTTAAAGTGAATTGATATTTATAAGGGAACCCACACTTAGCTCTCTTCAATTAAGACAATTTTTCTTTAGTATAGTAACATATTGGTAGTTTACATTTTTTCATAATAGATTGACTGTCTCCTGTAATAATTCCTGTAATAACAATAATTATAATTGTTCGCTACTCGAAATGTTTCTATCCCTTTCCTTTCAGGACATCTGTCCTCATTCCCATCTTCCTCCTCCAGGTGCACAATGCTGTGCTAAGCCACGGTGCTGCGCAGCCTTTCTGATCTCCCTGCTTCTCTGTCTGCTCTAGTCTCATCTCAGTCACCCTGTGTTTGTCTCTCTGTGATGATGCCTGCTCTCCTGACTCCTCTGTTCTGTAGCTCCGCTACATTGTCTCACTCGCTGTACTTGTTAAATGGTTTTCAGCTTTCTGTCCCACTGTGTGCACCTGAAGTTCATTGAGGGGAAGAACTGTTACTTGGTTTCATTATTTCTAACATCATAAAGTGATAGTCAAAGCATTCTTATTTTGAAAGAGTGCAACAGTTTATTTCTTGAAATTCCATTTTTGATCTTAAATGTTGTTCCCACTTAAAAAGTGTACACGTGAAGAACAGGTAAAATTATGAATTTAGGTGGAGTATTAACTTCAGTTCAGCCAAGATTTATGGAGTGTTTATGATATGTCTGTCAGTATTCAAACACTTATTAATCCAATTACCTGGATTAGTAAACAGAATACAAAAATTTCTCCTCATTTAACTTAGTGGTAGAGAAAACATTGAGATGACCAGAAAAAGTGAGTCATAAGGTGTGCCGTTTAGAAGATGATGTCTGCCTCAGTGAAAACAGAGGATTGAGACCTTGGTCCTCCGCTAATGTGACCAGGTGAGGTTCATTAGAGGGGACACGAGGCAGGATTTAAAGTGAGGCACAGAGGATCCAAGACGGGCAGATTGGAGCTAAGAGTAAGGACAAGGGCTGTCCAGAGTCAGGAGCTTGTGTGAACAGTCTCAGGTGGAGGAGAATGGGGGAAAGGAGGAAATCTGAGAAAGAAATAGACCTAAAAGTTTTGGTTTTTCTCTGAGGAATTCGGAAAGTCATTAAAAGGTTTTCAAGTATTTGAGGGATCAGTCAGATAACATTTAATAAAAGGCTTGAACTAAACCTCATTCAGAATAGTGCTTTAAGTGTGTGCTGTCTTACGTCGGTGGGAATGGTCAGAAACCAACGTTTCTCCTGTTAGTGGGAGTCTGCACTGCTTTGTTGACCCAGATGTCGCCTGACCTCTGCTCTATGTGGCTCCACAGGACTGTTCCTAATTTTCAAGTAGTGGGACAAAGCATAGGAAAGTTCATTTTCGCTCAGTTATGTTGAGGAAAATAGATGAGGATTAAATCCATGTGATACTTAACCCTGGAACTGAATTATATTTTGGTTATTAAAAAATAAACATGTTGGTTTATAAAAAAAAAAAAAAAAAACACGTTAGAGACTCTGTGCTAAGTAAGCCCTTGAGTTGGCATGGCTTTGTTACATGTGGCGCAGATCCAGCGTGGGTCCTCTTCCTGGTACTTTGTAGCGTTTACCCACTTGTGCTGGTTTGCCCAGCAGATAACCTCTAGGGATGCCTCAGATGGGCAATACCCCAACTACTGATGGCTTAGAGACGCCCACTCAGAATTCTGTTCTGACAGCGAATGTGGGATCTAGGTTTAAATCAGTGTGCCCAAAGCAGCCTGCACTTTGACAGAGATGGAAAGGAAGTGATAAGGTCTTTACTATCACCTTTAAAATACTAATGCTTTTAGTTGTGTGAAGTTACTGAACCATGGAATTCTCCATAAAACTTTGTGATTGATATATACTTTACAGCCTCCTAAACTAGCTGCTAAGATTCCATCTGACTCTCGAAGTATATTTATTTATTGTTTTTATTTTGAACAACTTAATTAAACAATAAAAGATCTTTGTCTTTCAGGACATTTTTACTTCAGGCATTTTTAAATTTGGAAACAGGTAGTCTGTAACTGTTCACAACACAGAGAGCTGGGTGTAGGCACTTCCTCTCGCTTGCGTCTAGTTATTAGGATTATTATATGATTCAGGGCCCTCTTGCTGCAGACAGATTCCAGTGCGCACATTCTGCAGACACTTGTTAGTATAGCTCAAAGCCGTGAAACACACAGTGTTCGATAGACTGGCAACAGTAGAAAAGGCAGGGCTAGAAACAAGAGGAAGGAGATCTGAGTACACCGTGTATTTAATTCATAGTTACTGTCAATGAATCTTAACCAACATAGCTAATGAATGTAAGAGACTTCTGGTGTGTGAACTGTCTTCTCAAACTGTCTTTAAATCTAAGACTATTCCAGAAATCATATGGTTTCATCCTTGTTGTTGTC